GGAAGTTCATCAGAATATTTAAAACTTTCCCTAGGAAACTTTACAAGGAAGTGTGATGCTTGTGTAATGCTTGTAGATACTGGTTCTACTCATGCAGATGAAATCATGTAACTGTTACCAAGCCAAATCTAATTTCTTTTCACAGACTGTATTTAAAGGAACCAGACTCTAGGTTAATCATATACTTTAGATTAGTCCTTAATATTGTTGCTTTTTTTTTTTTGTCTTTTTTCGTGACCGGCAACGGACCCCAACCCTCAGTGTCGCGCCCGTACTGGACCGGGACCGGCAACGGGATCGCAACCGTCGGTGTTGCCCCCGCTCCTCGCTCAGCCAGTGAGCTGCCGGTCTGCACGTGGGATCCGAACCCTTGGCGGGAGCGCCGCCGCGCTTCCCAAGCGGCGCACTGTAGCAGTGCGCCACTGGGCCGGCCCTATTGTTGCTTTTTAATGTAGCTCAAGGACTGCTAAATAGCAAGAGCACCAGAATTAATGGGATAGTTTATATTTCTTAAGATCTTTCTTGTCTCACTTATGTTTGTGGCTGGAGGAATGACTTGGGGGAAGGTACATACGAATAAAATTTAAGAATCAGTAGATTCTAAAACTGCTTTTCTGGTTGAACTTTGCATTCAAAGATTATTAATCTAAGTTAATTGAATATATTTTTATAGGTGAAACTTTGCTTTGGAGTCAGTTTTAACTTTAGAGCTAATCTGAGAACATTGGAGATACTTTGCTTCAAATTTGTAGGGATTCCAAGTAAGCTCTGTATGTGTTCCCTGCAAAATACCTGAATTTCACTTGTGTGACTGAGAGTTTGAGAATTGGGGAGGCAGAGGTGGTGGCCAGTGAACCTGGTCTTAAGGTTTGAGCTGAGGATGTGCATATACATATAGATTCTCTAGTTACGGTCTTTCCGGGTCTTCCTGATTTACTTGGAAGATCTTCTTAGATCACAGAAGTACTCTTTAAGCGATGCCACTGTCCAATGACTTTCAAACAACATTGTTAAAGATCTCAAACAAATGATTTGTCTTGATTTTATTGATTTTGACATATTTAATAAAATGTCAACTTAAGTTTTGAATTGTGTACAATTAGGATGACGTATCTTGACTGGAATGAGTTGCTGGTAATTGAATTCTTTTTTTTTTTTTTTTTTCTTGGGGGCGGGGTTGGTGTTCATTTATGTGTCAAATAGCCTGAAGTTCAAGTTCGACAGGTGGCTGTGAAATTTGCCAGCACGGTGTTTCCCTCAGATCATATACCTTCCAGATATTTGCTCCTACTAGCTTCAGGAGATCCGTAAGTTTCAAAAGGTGTTAATTGAATTTGGGTTCATTTAAAATTTATTTGAAAATAACTAAGATTTGTGTTGTTTGCAGTGTTGGCTTATGAAATATAGAAACAGATTATTAAATAGTTTAAAGTATGGCCATTGATATAGACGAGTAGTCATATATCTATATATTTATATAATAATGTAGATATTACATGTATATCTATATCTTTATAATGTATATAGGTTATGTGTATATCTATGTAATTGATATGTAGATCATATAGAGAAATGCTCATGAAATTAACAAATTACGTAATTGTATATGTAATATAATTAAATCTCTAAAAACAAGCCCTATGTAAGGAGGAAGAAAGATCAATGTTGATAGTTTGACATTTTAATATTATGCTGACAGAGTATCATTTTATATGTGGTATACGAAGATTTTTTAATGAGGTAAATAAATTGAATTTTATATTAACGAATTATATTACTGCATTTTCTAGAGTATATGATGCATTTTTTAAAACATTTAAATGGTTCTGAAATTGGGACATGATTTTAAAATATGTACATACAATTAGGTGTATGTGTCCATATTAAAAGAATTCTTATCAAGTCTATTATGTATCTTACAGTCAGTGACATCTTAAAATCCATGAAGCACTCTAATATATTTCGTAATATTAAACCATTACTAAATTTAATGTTTAGAATTTTTGCATTTTTTAAGTGAAATTCTTGTATTTTTCTTCTTTTTTGTTATCATGGATAGCCTTATCTTGGGAGGTGAAAAGCCTCATTCATGCTGAGGAATGATTTAAGTAAAATTATGCATTCTTTAATTTGAATACCCTCACCCATAAAGTCTTATGGTCCACTTTTTTTTTTTTTTTTGGTCTTTTTTCGTGACCGGCAACGGATTGCAACCCTCGGTGTTGCGCCCGCACCTCGCTCAGCCAGTGAGCGGCCAGTCTGTATGTGGGATCCGAACCCTCGGCGGGAGCGCCGCCGCACTCCCAAGCGGCGCACTGTAGCAGTGCACCACCGGGCCGGCCCTTATGGTCCACTTTATAAGTGGACAGTTATCAAGGGGTAATTGTTTCAATATTCCAGTTAGCCCAGCTGTATGCTCCTCATTGCATTTATCTTTTATATAAATTATATATATTTTGCTGTTTTGTTGGTATTTTAATTGGGTATCACAGGTTATTGCCAGGCCCTGACTTTTGACTTCTGATCATTTTTTTTTTTTGGTGGCAGCTGGCCGGTATGGGGATTCAGACCCTTGACCTTGGTGTTATATTATAACCTTGCTGTAACCAACCGAGCTAATAGGCCAGCCCTGACTTCTGATGCTGGCCGCTGCTTCTCATACAGCCACATCTAGATTTTTAAGCATATTGAAATGTGGCTTTGGATTGTTAATCTTGATTTTGGTGATTGGCTGCTTCTCACTTTTCTACTTTAGTTTCTCATCACAGGCCAAATGTCCTGTGGCCTGATGGCCAAGATGGCAGATCATGGTAGAGCCAGGACTTAAGTCTAGGGAGTTGGACATCCAGGCAAAGCTCTTAACCACTGTGCGTTCTCTAAGTTTCTCTAATTATTTTTATTTAAAAAGCAAAATCAAAGCATACCTAATTCAGTGGTTATCCTTCTTTAGTTCAGACTGTGCGGGTCAAATGAAAATCTTCTGGCAACTTTAGGCTTTTTAAAAAATTACTTTTCAGCTCTTTATTTGTTGTTAGGAAAACCAGATACAATTCAGAAGCAATTAAGGACTTAAAAGCAACTTTATATGGTTTCCAAATAAGACTGTTGCTGAGGTCAGTCTCTTAGGTGATCTGAAATTGGTTGGGTTTTTTCATTTTTACACATTAATGTCAGTTATCTGTTACCAATTGTATGGGCTTGTAGCTGAATACATAGAGGTATAGGAGTTTGGTGAACAGTCACTGAACTTTAAAATGTGTATTATAATTGTTTATGATTTGCCTCTAACAAGGGTAAAGCACACAGATAGATATTTACATAATAAATTTCAGTATCGTGTTTTGTTTTTTTCTGTGGATAAAATTCAAAGATGCAAGCCAGATGACTCTCCAAACCTCATAAAGTCTCCAAAAAGAAGTAATTTCTTATAATGTATCTTATTGACTCTTTGCTTAGGTAGTCAAGAATATATTTAAGACATTTTCTTAGAACTTCAGCTGCCAAATAAAATTGCTGTTCTTATTCTTCAAATGATCATTCTCTAATTGGTGAAATTTATTTTCTATTCTTATTTGTCTTTTTGAAAGACGAGAAGAAGTTCATGGAGAAGCACAACGAGTATTAAGGTGTCTTCCTGGCAGAAACAGAAAAGAAAGTACTTTTGAGCAGATGCCTTCTTTCCCAGAAATGGTATATTATATCCAAGAAAAGGTATGGCATTTTAACTTGAGATAATTAGTTTGAATCATATAATGGATGATGAAGATAAACATACATTTTTAAATGAAAAATGTAGTCATTAAATTTTGAATAGTTTAAATATTGTAAATATTTACAATAAGAGGGAGGCACAAAGTGAGGAGAAAAATATAGTTCTCAGTGTAATTGATCTGTTTTACCTAAATCTGAACCACATATAATTCTTTTCATGCTTGACAATATTTCGGCTGTGTTTAAAATTTTTTTCCCTTGGTATGACACACTTAAAAAAATACATCTCCAGGGGCCAGCCTGTGGCTCACTCGGGAGAGTGCGGTGCTGATAACACCAAGGCCACGGGTTCGGATCCCATATAGGGATGGCCGGTTGCTCACTGGGTGGGCGTGGTGCTGACAAATATAGTTCTCAGTGTAATTGATCTGTTTTACCTAAATCTGAACCACATATAATTCTTTTCATGCTTGACAATATTTCGGCTGTGTTTAAAATTTTTTTCCCTTGGTATGACACACTTAAAAAAATACATCTCCAGGGGCCAGCCTGTGGCTCACTCGGGAGAGTGCGGTGCTGATAACACCAAGGCCACGGGTTCGGATCCCATATAGGGATGGCCGGTTTGCTCACTGGGTGAGCATGGTGCTGACAACACCAAGTCAAGGGTTAAGATCCCCTTACCGGTCATCTTTTAAAACAAAACAAAACAACAACAACAAAAAAATCTTTTTTTTTTAAGGGAACTATCTAGGGTATGGTAAGTTTAAGGATGCTTCAGGGAGCAGTTCAGGTTTTTTCCATCAAGATCATAGTAGAACAGCCCATCTGATTTTGCAAGTCTCTGCCTTTGCACAGTGCTTTCTTCTGGTAGATTCAGAGTACTGGCAGTAATGACCTGCGGCCCTGACTCTATCCCACTTTTTACATTAGTGTTTCTGTGAATATTCAGGAAGATGCCTTACTGCCTTTCACCTCTGCTGGTTATCCTAGCTTCTTGTTCGGTAGGCACCTTAAGGGAGTTGGAAGTCAGTACGAAGCAGCCATGATTCTCTTTTCCATAGCAGTCATATTTGTGGTCACAATGCGTTCTGTGTGTGTATTTTCCTCCTATCTCCATTATTAATGAAAATAACTTGCATGCAGTGGCCTGGCGTGATCATGTCAGTACATGTCTGGAGTAGGTTTATTCTTTTTAAAGAAGCCAGTAAAAACATGGAGGAGAAAGGCAACACACCTATTATTTAAGGTATGAGGGACATGCATAATCAGCATTATTAATAAGAAAATGTTTTGATTAGAAAAAGACAGAAGGAAACCTTGGACAATAATGTAGCTAGAAATATAGTTATTTTTGAGTTGAAGAAGGGCACAAGTGCTCCATTTTTTATTAATTGTATTTGTTTTGGGCTTATTTTTATTAGGCTTCTCATCGAATGAAAACTCCAGTCAAATACGTGACTGGGACTACTGTCCTTCCATTTAACCCAGCAGCCTTTGGAGAGGTAATGACTTTCATGTACTTCTATTTGCTTTCTGTAAAGGTTCTAAAAGATAAGTCCACACCCAAAAAGATGTCTGTGATTTTTTTTGTGTTCTAGGCAAACCCATATTGTGGTATCATTACTCTTCACCATGTTATTTTAAAAAAATCAGTCTTTGGTAATTGGTATTATGTTAATTCATAGAGTCTATAAATATATTATCTCAGTGAGATTCTCTTTGTGAAAGAACTGGATGCTCTGCAGTGATTACTGTTGGGATTTTGCAGCAAGTTAGATTTGAATTTTAAAGCCAGTATATTGTTGAAGTTGTTAGGGGTGAGATTCTCTTTGTGAAAGAACTGGATGCTCTGCAGTGATTACTATTGGGATTTTGCAGCAAGTTAGATTTGAATTTTAAAGCCAGTATATTGTTGAAGTTGTTAGGATTATCTAGTTTTGAAGGTTGGAGAGGATTAATTTATCACACTTACTGAAGAAAATTCAATTTTTTTAGATCATTGACTTGTGCTAATTAAATTACAAGAGGTAATCATGTTCAGAGTGAGCAAGAATACTCATAATGAATTGCTTCCTGTCCTATTTTAGCTCTTAGGGAAAGGGCTTCCAACTCCTTAGTAGGCAGTTTGTTATCAGAGTTTGTTATGGTGTAATATTTACTCTTTTGTAGATGATTTGAACCCATTTTCTCAAATTCTCATGTCAGTGGAGATTAAATACAACTGGAAGTCAACAGGAATAGGTCATTTGCCCCAGATTTCTGGCCAGTCACACACACACACATATATATATATATATATATATATATATATAAAAGTATTTTCATTGCAATTTTTAGATTTAAAAAGTTGTTTGCATTTTAACTCCATTAAATTCTTAAAAAACACACTCTTTGGATTGTAAAAGCTTGTTACATAAGTTTTGCTGAATTATAATAATTTAGTTAACCTATTGAGTCATGTCTTCTGACTTCCATTTAGATTGGAATAGCTTTGTGAAGGAGAGTGAAGGAAACAAACTGAAATTGTCACTTTGAAAGACTACCCTCCCACACTGACTTTTTGAGATGCTTATCTGGTATTCCTCTTCCTTCTATTTTTAGATAGTTCTGTACTTGCGCATGTGCCTAGCTCACAGCGCAGGGGTGGTGCCTACTTCTCAGTGTTTGGCTGATATGCAAGATCACGCCCCAGCCATTGGACGCTATATACGGACTTTAATGTCAAGCCCCCAGGGAGCATCGTCATCTTCTAATAAGAGTGGAGAAACCAACCCAGTTCAGATCTACATTAGCCTGCTTCAGCAGCTGTTAGCAGGTGTTGGAGGTAGGAAGTCATGATGCTGAGGAAATATATGAAAGCACTTAAGCAAAAAATCTAATTTTTTTTTTTTAAAAGATGACCGGTAAGGGGATCTTAACCCTTGACTTGGTGTTGTCAGCACCACGCTCAGCCAGTGAGTGAACCGACCATCCCTATATGGGATCCGAACCCGGGGCCTTGGTGCCATCAGCACCGCACTCTCCCGAGTGAGCCACTGGGCCGGCCCTACAGCAAATTTAATTTAAACCTCATTTGGCTTTATTGTGATTCTACAGTCGGGAAACACTTCATACTATAAAATAGAATAAGTGTTCCAATGAACCAAGCAGAGGCGGTAGATGACCGGTAAGGGGATCTTAACCCTTGACTTGGTGTTGTCAGCACCACGCTCAGCCAGTGAGTGAACCGACCATCCCTATATGGGATCCGAACCCGGGGCCTTGGTGTCATCAGCACCGCACTCTCCCGAGTGAGCCACAGGCCGGCCCGCAAAAAATCTAATTTTAAACTCAGCTAAGAAATTATAGCAGAAATATTCTCTCTTCACTTCTGTAACTGATATTAGTGTTTGTTTCTTTTCTAAACTTATCTGATTCATTCTTGATAGACTTTTTCTTGTTTCAGAAAGAAATGGTAACAATAGATAATACGTTTTTACTTTGAAAGTAAAGAATAGGCCATCCACTTTTGTAGACAACTAATCTGTAAATTTGCTGTGTTGTTTCACATACGCTATTTAGGTCGTGTAATTTTTTTTTTTTTTGTAGAACTGAGGGAATGCATGTTCAAGCAGTAGGCTTTTACTGTAAAGGAATTTAGTGATCCGTGTATGTTCATTACTTTTCTTGAAATTTAAAATGGTTCTGAATTCTTATTTAGGCTTGCCGGTCATGTATTGTTTACTGGAAGCTGTGTCAGTGTATCCAGAAAAGCTGGCTACCAAATTTGTAGACAAAACAGAATGGATAAAGGTATGTCCTGCTCATGTATATTTCTCTTTGATTCTGTATATTTCAAACTTTAACCTCATGATTTCTTCTTCCTACCAGTATTTCTGTGACCTTTTCTGCCATTAGGTCGTTTTGAAAGTCCCTCATTATCGAACACCGGGATGCATGTTGTTGACCCATCTGGGTGAGAGTGGGAGATGAATTGAAAGTCATATAAGTTAAAAATAATTCCTTTTCTGTTTCAAAAGTTTTTAAAAAAATAAGCAATAAATTTGTATAGTTTAAATAAAAAATATGTAAAATGTCTCCTTTCCCTGTCTTTTACCTACCTAGATCCCCCTAACTTTCTGCTCTTTACTCTTTTGCCTCTGACAAACATATGTAAAGCTATCACTTATATATGACATACCTTCTAGAGTTTACTTATACATATACATACAAAAATATGCATTTAAAATCTTCTCCCTCCTTTTACACAAAAGGGTAGTATACTATTCACACTATTTTGTGCCTTACTTCTTTTATTTAATAGTAGAACTTGGAGCTATTCCTTTATATCTATGGAGAGCATCCTGTTTATTTTAACAGTTTCATCATTTTCTGTTGTATGAGTGCACTACATTTATTCCAGGTCCTTACTGATGGTCGTTTAAGGTACTTCCAGTCTGCTGTATTGAATAGTCTGTCATCTTGCATATGAGGAAGTATGTTTTTTAGATGGATTCCCCAGAAGTGGAATTGCTGGTTCAGAGGACATGTGCTTTTGTAATTTGGAAAGATAATGCCACACGCTCCTTGTGAGTGGTACCAATTTACAATTCTACCAGCCATGTTTCTTGTCCCATGATCATACCAAAAGGGTTGCCAGGCTTAGCAAATAAAAATACAAGATGTTCAGTTAAATTTGAATTTCAGATAAACAGTGAATAATTTTTTTTGTACGAATATGGCACATAAGCTTGAATTATGGTAAAATGTACAAATTATATCTTTAAGTGTGAAATCACGAATGTAACTTACTAAGAGGTGTAAGTTTTGCACTTTTTAGGAAAATCTGATCTCGTGAAAATGTTTCTAGTTTGAAAAGGTTTTTTATTCTTTATGAATATTTGCTGATTTAAAAATGATCCTATAGTTTTTGAGTTTTGATCTTTGAGATCAGGGGTTGTCATACTGTGGTCCATGGGCCAAATGTGGCCTGCCTTCCTGTTTTTATATGGCCTCCAAGCTAAGAATAGTTTTTACATTTTTAAATGGTTGAAAGAAAAAAATCAAAAGGCGAGTAACATTTCATAACATGTGAAAGTTACAGTGTCCATACGTTTTATTAGAACACAACCATACCCATTTATGTATTGTCTGCGGCTGCTTTTGCACTTCAGCAGCAGAGTGGAGTAGTTGCAGCCGAGACTGTATGGCCCATAAAGCTTGTTTGGCCATTTGCAGAAAGTTTGCCGACCTCTGTTTTAGATCATCTGTGTGTTAATTTCACCTGTTTTGTACTTTTGTATCTTTGATGAAAATGCATGTAAGATTTTGGTATATAATTCAGCTTTCATTTTGTTTTTACATAATAGCTTGTATTTTCTCATGGATACCAATAGATTGAACATTATAATGTGTCATCTATTCCTTTAATTTTAAATGTTAAGTGTTGTCAGCAGGAAGATGATTGTATATCATGTGTACATATATTTTTTTCAGAGTCTGATGAGTAGCAGTAAAGAAGAAATGCGTGAACTGGCAGCGCTGTTTTATTCTGTGGTGGTATCAACAGTGTCAGGAAATGAGTTGAAATCAATGATAGAACAGCTTATAAAGACTACAAAAGATAATCATGTATGTTATCCGTTTTGTCTTCATTCTTTTTTGTATGAGATAGAGTTTTACAAAAGTATGTCAGTTTTAGTTTTCAGAGTTTTACAAAAGTATGTCAGTTTTAGTTTTCGTGTTATAATTCGTAAAATGAACTTACAAATTTCTTGCTTTTATAATTGCAAAGATTAAATGAGATGGATAATACATCGATTCAGTCAGTTTAACAAATTTGCGTGCTTTGTCGGGTAAGCACTGTTTTAGGTTTTGGGAATACAGTGGTGAGTAAATACATGAGAATCCCAAGTACGATGTGGTGCTCAGAACTGTTAGCTCCACCTATCTTCCACATCTACCATCTGCCACTTGCCACTGTGCCCATGAGAAAAGAAACTGCTTTCAAATAGTTTATTGCCTTCCTTGTGTTTGGAGGTTTTACCAATTAGAGATCAGATCTGTTTATTGTATTTTGTTGGTAATATGAAGAAATTATGCTTGAAAATTATGATACTATAGTTACATAAATGCTGTGAGATAGAAGAAAGTGTGAGTGGTATAGGAGCATGTAAGAAAGTCACCTTACCCAGAGTTGGAGTAGGCGTGGGATTAGGGAATGTACATCTTGAAGCAAATCAAGACTCAGTTTAACTTCTTGAAATTCTCTGTGTTAGAAACTCAAGGTTTCTTTTGTTCTCTAAGCTTGATTCATTAGCATCCCATGGAACTTCAAGTGATCGCTTTATTCTTTGACCTTATGTTTTATCAGAGAGATGAGTCTAATAAATAGTTGTTTCAATGTATTCTTGTACATGTGAGAGGGAGGCAAAGACATATTATATTGCGTTGTTGAATTCAGAGCCCAGAGATACAGCATGGATCCTTGCTTGCATTGGGATTCACGGTGGGAAGATATTTAGCTAAAAAGAAAATGAGAATGGCAGAGCAACAAGACCTGGAGACAAATGCAGATTTTCTGCCAGAACAAGAAGAGCTCATTCAGAGTGCCACAGAAACAATAGGTAATTAACGTATTTATGCTGACTTGGATGTTGTAATTTTTGAATTATATTAAATTTTAGTACTCATATGGCATTTTAATTTCTTTTTATAGCATTACACTTTAAAGGCACAAGCTTTTTCACAAAAACTTACCTGATGCTGAATAAGTTCTGTAATTTTAATAACAATGAAAGTAGTGTTTTTTTCTATATATTTTTCTGTATGTTCCCATATAATAGGAATGATTCTGTTATGGGAAAAAACTTAAACATTCAAAAAGGATGCTACTTGTGCCCTGTTGCCATGGTGTCTATATTAATGAAATAATTTTAGCAAATTGTCAACTAGAACATATTATAGACTTTGATTTTATTTGTTGCCTTTAAAAAAATCTTGCATCCATTGCTGGTTGCTTTGGATCACAAGGATAATAGTATATTATTCTCTGTTTTGTCTAAATGTGCTTATAGGCTCGTTTTTGGACAGTACATCACCTCTCTTGGCAATTGCTGCATGTACAGCCCTGGGTGAAATTGGCAGAAATGGTCCACTTCCAATCCCTAGTGAGGGATCAGGCTTTACCAAGTTGCATCTTGTAGAAAGCTTATTAAATAGAATACCTTCCAGTAAAGAAACAAATAAGGCAAGTGTCTTTCTTTTTTCTTCCCTTCTGGAATTCTTTCTTTCTGGTCATAGATGTGTAAATAAGCAAAACCAAATTGTAATGAGGATAGATGGCATTGCAGCTAGAGGCAGGATTTAATGTAAAAAGGAGGGATAAAGTTGAAGATGAAAGTGTAAGTTGGGGGTGATTTCTGTACAACCTTAGTGTGTGCATCTTTTGACCTCATTATTCTAATTGAGGCCCTTAACTATTAAAATTTGAGTAAAGTGTTAAAGTCATCAGGAAATCTCTTGTCATGTAAAATGTGGATACTAAACTGTTAAGTAGTTTTATGACTTCTGTAATTTTAGATCAAATCTAGATCTTAACCTCCTACAGCCAGTTTAGTATTTAGGAGTTTGTGCATTAGTAAGCAGTGTGATTGAGTAAAAGGACATTTAAAGTTTTTTAGTTTTAGATAAATATGACGGTAATTAAGAGAGTTCATGGAAATATTTATATATCTTTTAATTCTTCTTTTCCACAAACTTTGTAGTACTCTTGTATTTTTATGATTTTAAAACATTTTCTTTGTGATTAGAGTACATCAGCATTGAAGGGTAAGGTAATTTAATGAGCAGAAATAATAGTTTACTACAAATTTAATAAACATAATAATCTTATTATTGATCTAACTGTGTAGTTTTTATAAGTTGTTATTAACTAATTGTTACCAACCAATGTTAAGCACTTGTAATGTACCAGGGAGTATGCTAAGTGCTTTCCATACATTAATTAATTGAATCCTCCAAAAGGTCTAGTGCAGTAGGCACAGTTGTCATCTCTGTATGAGATAACATGAGGAAAAAGAGTTACAGAGAGGTTAAGTAACTTGCCTAAGGTTGTGCACCAGTAGAGACTACTAAAATGGTCAAGGTGTGATTTGGTCTTAGTCTTCTGGGCAAAAACCCACTAGGAACTAGGACAAAGGTCTAGTTAAAGGCTTTCTTCTTTCTTTCTTTGCAGTTATGGGTCCTTAATGGACTCAGTTTTATGTCTTTCTACCACGGATGTGTTATAGTAATACTATCGTAAAATTGGATGCTGTTATAAAAACTTATACATTTTGGTGTGTGCATTAGAAAAATTGCCACTCCCTTTCATCTGTCTTGTTTCGGCAATACTGTTTTGGGGTAAAGCGGTTATATACTTAGTTTAGAAGAAAAAAGTTTTGTTTTCTTCCAGATGAAAGAACGAACCATACAAACACTGGGATATTTTCCAGTTGGGGATGGAGATTTTCCTCACCAGAAACTCCTCTTGCAAGGTCTGATGGATTCTGTGGAGGTATTTATATTGCTATCTGATTTTTAGTCATTCAATCAAAAGGCATTTTTTAGTTGCAGTTTTGCATGCTGTGAGATTTTTAATTAAACCTTTACTCATTTGTTCACCAAATACTTAATTTTGAGTGCTAGCTTTGGGCTTGTCACTGTGCTAGGCATAGCATTGAGTAAATCACTTATGTGGGAGAGACCTTTTCTTATAATTTTTGAGGGAAGCATGGTGCAATGTAGGTAAAAAGGGAAATTGATGCAGTCAGCCAGATGTAGCAAGTGGGTGCTGTTATTTCAGTAACTCTTGAATCTGATGATTTAGCTTCTGTCTTCTAGATAGATGTCCAGTGTAGTTCTTCTAGATAGATGCCCAGTGTAGTTCTTCTAAATAGATGCCCAGTGTAGTGGAGAAGACCTACAAGTAGGCACATGCTAATACAGTGTGATAAGTGTCTTAGCATGGTCTGGCCCCTGCTTCCTCTAGTCTTGATTCTTGACATTCACTCACATTTTGTATCCCAGCCTCTTTGGCCTTCTTTGCTCTGAGCTTTTGAAAGCCACATGCTTCTTTCCTTCTCAGATTGTTGCTGTGCTCCTTGAAAAGCTTTTCCTGACCCTTCTAACTAGAGCAGATTCTTTAGTTACTATCATGACTCTCATCCTTTTTCTTCACAGCATTTATCACAGTTTCTAATTGCGTAGTAGATGCAGGCAGAATCTCTTATGCTCACTATTATAAAACAAGTACCATACTGTTATAAAACAGTATGATTGGTAATGGTAGGATCTCAATGAGCATTGGTAGCATAAGTACCTAAACAAGAGACATTTGCATATAAGGCAGTGGAATCACAAATAGGTTGTGAGTGATTCTGTCGGGGAGAGTAGCTGCAGATTTTTTTAGAGCAGAGGTTGCTGCTGGGCCTTGAAGGACAGGAGGGAGGAGAGAGGAGAGTTGAGGCTAAAGAATGAGTCAGCTGAGTGAGAGAACTGGTATTAGAATTCAGACCCCTGGATTCTTTTTCTTTGGTGGCTGGCTGGTCCAGGGATTTGAACCCTTGACCTTGGTGTTTATAACACCACGTTCTGACTAGCTGAGCTAATCACCAAGGTCCTGTGTCTGGATTCATAATTGAGTATTTTTAAAGTGAATTTTTTTGACAGAGAATTATATCTATACCAGGTTCTTCCCAGATGTCAGTGACATTATAACTAACCACTTGACATGAAGATTTTGATGTTTGCTTTTCATTGTTTTTCCTTTTTAAATCCATGAGAGAGATGGGTTTCTTTTAGGTTTGTTTAAATAAATGAAGCCTTTTCTGGATTCTTAATTTGCTTTTGATGCCATTATTTTAAAAGTTTATAAGTACAGGTATGACAATATAGAGGGATAACCAAACTCACTTTCTTCTATACTCTTACAGCATGGATCACTTCTGACACAATAGGTACAGGCGTTTTCTACCACACACCAGGCAAGCAATCAGTGATACAGATTTTGTAGTGGACACCAGCTGGGTGCTTCCAGTTCAGTTCTGACACTGTTTACCTGGACATAGCATCAGATCCCATGGATTGAAGGCTCAGTTCCATCAGACTGCCCCTCACTTCCAATGTCAATTGCAAGCCCCAGGTTGTTTTACCTGTGCTTCTCACTGATGGGCTGTAAATTGGGGTTTCCACGACCCCTTCCTTAGGTTCTCACAGAACTCAGAGAGACACTTACTTATGTTGACTGGTTTATTTTAAAGGATATTATAAAGAATACAGATGAATAGCCAGATGAAGAGATGCATAGGGCAAAGCATGTGGGAAGGAGCCTGGAGCTTCTATGACCACTCCATGTGTGCCACCCTCCAGGAACCTCTATGTTTTCAGCTATCTGGAAGCTCAGGGAACCCTGTCCTTTTGAGTTTTTATGGAAGCTTCATTGTATGGGCTGGATTGATTAAATCATTGGCTATATGTGATTTACCCAACCTTCAGCTCCTCTCCCCTCTCTGGGGGTTGGCAGGTGGGGCTGAAAGTCCCAATCCTCTAATCCTGCCTTGATCTTTCTAGTAACCAGCCCCCATCCTGAAGCTACCTGCTAGCCATCAGTCAACTCTCTGGCATACAAAAACACTTAGCACTTGGAAGATTTCAAGGATTTTAGGAGTCGTATGCTAGGAAACTAGAAGACCAAATATATATTTTACAATATCACGACAGAAATACATGAAAAGCAAGAAATATGGAATAAGGTAGAAAGATTACAGGAAAACAGTGAATGGAGATTAAGACTCAGAGAAGCAGAACATCCTTACAATCAACTAGTACAAAAGTTCTAAATATTTTTCTTTGAACTTTTTATTATGGTCAATTAAAAAATTCCATAAAAGTAGAGAGAATAATATTATAATGAATCCCCATGTGCCTGTTCTTATTTCATCTGTTGACCCCTTTCTTTATTTCTGGAATATTTAAAGATTATCATATCATTCATAAATGTAGTTGTTGAGTTTTGTTTTTGTTTTTAATGCCAATTATGTTGTTATTAAAAATAGGAAACATGGGCTGGCCCGTGGCTCACTTGGGAGAGCGTGGTGCTGACAACATGAAGTCAAGGGTTAAGATCCCCTTACCAGTCATATATATATATATATATGTATGTATATATATATGTATGTATATATAAAAGTAGGAAACATATGCAAAAAGAGGCACATAAAATAAATCCCTAATAAGGATCCTTTGTGTTGAAATACCTTTTCTTAGCTTGGAGTTACCAAGAGAAGCTTTTGACCAGGGAAGCTGTAGGACTAAAGTCCTTAAATCCTTTTTCTTCAGACTAGGAACCATGTGGTTTTGTTACTGGGCGGCAGATCCAGGTTTTTGCTCCAGGAAAGAAGAATCTTTCATGGGAGTGACAAAGGGAAAGGAAGAGAGGGACAAAAAAATGGGACATAATAAGGCTTTATTACCAAGGGAAGGTATGCTCCATAGAAGTGTGCAGGCATCTTCACCAGAGAGAGAGAAACACACTCCCACCCCCCAACTGTCTCCCTTGCTGCTCCGGGTCCAAACTCCTAATGGCTGTTCTCTGCCCATCTTGTTCCACCTCAGTGCCCTGGCTGATCTAGTCTGAACATTTTGAGCAGCCTCCCTGGGGCATGTCCCTATTCTGTCCTGCCTCAGTATTAGAAGTGACAACTCATCAAGACTAGAGCATTTTGTTGATTGAGCAAAGGAATGTCTAAACTTGTCTATATGCTTGGTAGAGTCATTGTTTCCATATCCCTCATATGCTCTCTGCTCTTCATTCACTTCTTATTCTTCCTATGCCTAGATTTCTTCTAGTTCACAGTGAAGAGAGAAAAATGCCAAAGGGAACCAAGGCAGGTCCAGTTCCATGCTGGGTCAGTGACTCATACCTGTGAAGCATGTCAGAATTTCTAAATCATATGTTAAGTCATTTGAGTATGTACTATGTAGAATTTTTAACGTTTTACTTTTGAAAAAATTTCAAACTCACAGTGAAGTTGTAAGAATAATATAATGAACTCTTGTATACTTTTTATACAGATTTACCAAATTTTAGCATTTTATAATTGCCTTACCATTCTCTATTTTATTCTGTACCATTTGAGAGTAACATGCAGGTATGTAATTAAAAAGTGCAAAGACTTAATAGATTAGTTTAAATGTTAACAAATTATAATGGCTACCATTTATTGTGAAGTTACTATAATCAGGTATACTGTATAGTAGAAGCTTTATCTACATTAACCGCATTTGATCCTTATGGCCTGATGGGTTGGGTGATGCTATTATGCTCATTTTACAAATGAAGTTGTTGAGAGTCAGAAGTTTAAATAAGGGTATTTAGCTAGTGAGAGGTAGATCTAGAATTTGCACTGAGATCTGTGTGACTTCAAACTCGATGGGTGCCCTGTCCTCTTAGGTGAACCATATCATGCTTTCAGTGATTAAAAATCACTACTTAGTGGTTCTCTGGGTGAGAGGTAGATCTAGAATTTGCACTGAGATCTGTGTGACTTCAAACTCGATGGGTGCCCTTTCCTCTTAGGTGAACCATATCATGCTTTCAGTGATTAAAAATCACTACTTAGTGGTTCTCTGTGAGTGAGGAAGGCAGCACGGACTTGGAACAACCTTAAGTTGTTCTTACATTCTCCATCACCTCACCCTACTCTGCTTTTGAACCACTGAGTTAGCTAAAAGCAAGCCGGGCAAGAGAGTGAAAACAAAGCATGCTGAGAAAGAAGATATTAAGCAGCCTTTCTGTAGAAAAGGATGTTTTGGGGAAACATTCTCTCTCATTCATGGGTTTTGCTTCCTTCTTCGCAGGCCAAGCAGATAGAACTTCAGTTCACTATTGGCGAAGCCATTACCAGTGCTGCAATAGGGACTTGTTCTGTGGCTGCCCGAGATGCCTGGGTAGTGACTGAAGACGAATATACTCCTCCTGCTGGTACCAAATATTCAGCTAATCGATTTGTAATCATCAAGTAACCCTTTTCTGTTCTCTTTATCACATTTGAAGCAAAAGAAATTATACATTCCACACTAATTCTTTTTGCAATACTTATGTCTGTCTTACTGATTTGGTTTAGTCAAGAAAAGTAGATGATAAAGGGAGAATGAGCATGAAATTAATGAGAACTTCTTTTATTAGTCCTTTGGCAAGCAAGCAGGGTAGTTAGGTATGGATTACTTTCAAGCTTGTGCTCTTTTCATGAGGATTGGTGTATTTAGCCAGTTTCAGAATTCAAGGTATAGCAGTTTCCAGATTATATGTCCTCTAATCCTTTGTTAAGTAATGCCGCTTCAGTGTCTTCTGCTAGTGCTCCAGGTTCCTCCGCCCTGAAGTTGCACCAGCTTTTAGTGACTATGTAGTTGAGGGGGCATGTGGTTTCTGACTATATGTTATAGATATTATGATTTCACGTATGTTGTGATTTGATTTGAATTTGGAATTGAAAATATATTTTGGTATTTGAACCAGAATTTTTAAAAATCTTTAAAACAAAAGAAAAAAATCTCCACATTTTTATTTTTTATCTTCTTAGTTGGGGAAATTAGAAAAAGATAGTGTTCTCATGGCAACAATTGCATTGTGAATTGTATTCCATCATGAATACATTAATTTAGTTATTGCTCTTATTGCAACACTTAACATTTAATCCTACAGTACTGTGTTTATCTGTTATTTTATTAGCCATCATAAAGAGATTTAAAGGAAATCGCACTAAGAAAAAACACACCTGCTTGCACTCTAAGTAGGAGAACTGTGGATGGATGGAAACTGAAACAGAGTCAGTTCTTTCAGGCTCTCTTTGAATGCGTATGAGGCAAGGCAAGCAAAAATTTGTGTAGAAGGGCCGGCCCGGTGGCACACTGGATAGTGCGCCTCTTGGGAAGCGCAGCGGCGCTCCCGCCTGAGGGTTCGGATCCCACATACAGACCGGTTCCCGCTCACTGGCTGAGCGAGGCGCGGGAGCAACACCGAGGGTTGCGATCCCGTTGCCGGTCCCCGGTCCGGTACGGGGGCAACACTGAGGGTTGCGATCCATTGCCGGACACGGAAAAAGACAAAAGACAAAAAAAAAAAAAATTGTGTAGAAGGAAAAAGATACTCGGGGAAGTGACCGTTGTTAACAAGAAGGCAACCAAACCTGAAGTGGAAATTCTCAGGTTGCGTGTGAGAGGTGATATTGGCGGCTTGACAGAAGTGAAGGCTTACACTGAGGAGTGGATTTGCATGTTTGTGAGTGGAGGCATGTTTGTGAGTCCATGGGCTTTTACATAGTGACCTAAGCAAATTAGGGTTAATAGAGAGGTATCTATGCCAGCCGTCATATTTCTGAACTTCCTTTGTATTGCCTCAATACATTGGATCCTGTTTGACTTCTTACTCATCCAAAAGAATCTCAAATTGTCCATTAAATGTTGAGTTTCTCCAGTCTTTGTGTGCTTAGGGAAAGGAAAACATAAAATATTCTGAATAAGTGGGTGATGCTGAATGTTTGGCCTGAATTTTGATCATACATGTTCTATACATCATTCTCATCTGAGGACTCCTCAACCTTTGAGATGTTGTTTTTTACAGTGTACTAAACTTATTGTGAATAGAACAGCATTTGAGAAACCAGTTAGAGCCTCGGTCTTTAGCCATCGTAGTATCTCTAGCATGTAACACCTGTAACATTGTGGGAATCTAATAAGGGCTTGTTAATTTGATAATTGCAGTTGCCCAGAGAGCAGAACTGTAAGTGGCTAGAACTGTGGTTATGGCAAAGTAAAAAGAAAGGATTCTGTCTGACTCTGAGAACTAGATTAATGTCATCAGTGAGGGGCTATGAAGGGGCAAGGGGAGTTGTGAGAGGGGGAACCAAGTGGGTCATATACTGCTGATCAATTAAGATGAGAGTTGAGAAGTGATCATTGGACTTAGCAACAGGAAGGTAATTAGTGACTTTTATGAGTAGTCTTTGTGGAGAAGAGAAGATAAAAGGCTGATTTGGAGTGGGTTCAAGAAAAATTAACAGGAGAGAAAAGTTTGACGTTAAGTATCTATAACTGTTTTGAAGGCTTTTACTGTAAAGCAGTGGTTCTTGCCTGGAGGAGTGAGATTTTTGTCCCACAGGGGACATTTGGTAATGTGTGCACACTGGGCTGGGTTGGTGCTGGTCTCTAGTGCATGGAGGCAAGAGATACTGGTAAACATCCTACAGTATACAGGTGGCTCTCTAGAACAAAGAATTATCCCCCCCAAAATGTCAATAGTGTTGGGTTGAGAAACCCTGAAGTAATAAAGGAAAGAAGAAAAATGGTACAGTAGCTGGAGAAGGAGAGCGAAGTCAAAAGAGGTTTGTTTGTTGGTTTTTAGATGGAAGATTAAATGAAAGATCTAGTAGAGAAAGAAAAGTTGATGAGACTAGAGAAAGTGGGGTAATTTTTCGTTTTTGGGAACTAAAGTTACCTGAGTATCTTTGAAAAGTTATTTAGCTTATGCTAGGTTCTGAAGTGAATAATTATTGATTCCTTCAGCAACCTCTTTAAACACCTTAGGCATTTGAATTTTAATATGTTATATGATCATCGTATTGAATATGTATTTAAATTTAACTTTTTCAGGAAACTATATTGAATTATTTTAATTGTTTCTTATCTTCCTTTATATGTCCTCAGGAGCCAAAATAAATGATGTGGTCCCATGGGTGTTGGATGTGATTTTAAATAAACATATCATCAGCCCCAACCCACATGTGAGGCAAGCAGCCTGCATCTGGCTCCTTTCCCTTGTGAGGAAGCTAAGTACCCATAAAGAAGTGAAGGTAAGCCGTGCTATGTATGTGATCAGCTCTGTTGGGAACCACAGTATTAGTGAGGAAGGAAAGCGCATGAAGGTGAGGGCCATTAACCAAAGGCAGATATTTTGAAATAAGCTGTACGTGAAGGAAGGAAGGAAGGATGTTGGCCTGGTATATATTAGCTGGAAGATGATACAAAACTTGAAGGTGTAGTCAGAATTGCTCAGGATGGGGAGGCTCAGATTGCGACAAAGGTCAGATTGCGTGTTTTAGACTACCTGTTAAGTGGTACAACTTCAGGTAACTTGGGCCACCTGTAAAGATGAGAGCACAGCAGGGTTTGTGACTGCCTTGGGGTTGTAAGAATTTATGGCTCTGTGCACCCTGAGAGCAAGATTTTTACTCTCCCGAAGAGCTAGGATTTCAGTGTTCTAATGCCTTTTTTCTTCTTTCAGTCTCATCTTAAAGAAATTCAGAGTGCGTTTGTTTCAGTTCTGTCAGAAAATGATGGTAGGTTGTTGGTAAATATTTGATTTCTAAACTTTACTAAACTTGTATTTTAAATTTTAAAAAGCCTGGATTAATGAACAGAAAACTCTTTGAGCTATATGATTAAAACAAAATTAAACCTTATTTATTAGTGTTAAGAGTAAGTATTTTGTTAGTGGCTAAAAAAACAAAATTTCTGGTTAGGGTATAAAAAACCTGAATTCTTTCTTACTTATTCATTTATTTATAAATTAGAACATGTTCTCCAGCTTTGTGTTTAAAAATGTACCTGAGGCCTTCTTTAACATTAGTACCTCTACTAAGTAATAGCTTTTCTTGTACTTCTGATTACTTTTCCTCTCTGATTTAAGCTAGGAGACAGTGAATGTGTATATGAAGGTGCTTCAGAAAGTTCATGGAAAGATTTGTGTTATTCAATTCTATTGTCCCATGAACTTTTTGATATACCTCATATATGTTAGACATTTATTTATTTTTTTGGGGGGGTGGCTGGCCAGTACAGGGATCCAAACCCTTGACATGTTCTCCTAAGTGAGCCACTGGCCAGCCCACATGTTAGACATTTAAGTAGTAGCTTTGCTGTATAACTTGTTTTCAGTATGTGGTCTTGTATTGATTTTTCATTTTTAAGAAACTTGCTATGGGTATATTGAAATCTCGTGAGGCTGTTTTGTCTCTGATGTGTATGACTTACAGTCCATTGATATTCTGTCACTGTTCACTGTGTTGGGACACTGTATAGGTCCATCAGTGTTGTCTTGCTCTGTAAATTTGATCTTCTTCGAATGTAGTTCTTTTGGTATCTTGTATGATGCTGTCCACTGAGATGATTTAGTACATTTTAAACAGGAAGATTGGTTCTGTTTTCCGATCTTTTTTTTTTTTTTTGTCTTTTGTCTTTTTCCGTGTCCGGCAATGGATCGCAACCCTCAGTGCTGCCCCCGTACCAGACCGGGGACCGGCAACGGGATCGTAACCCTCGGCGCTGCTCCCGCGCCTCGCTCAGCCAGTGAGCGGGAACCGGTCTGTATGTGGGATCCGAACCCTCGGGCGGGAGCACCGCCGCGCTTCCCAAGCGGCGCACTTATCCAGTGCACCACTGGGCCGGCCCTTTTTTTCCCTTTTTTTACTAACCGGTAATGGGATTGCAACCCTCGGTGTTGCGCCCACACCGCGCTCAGCCAATGAGTGGGAACCGGTCTCCACATGGGATCCGAACCCCCACACTCTCCAGTGCGCCACTGGGTCGGCCCTGTTTTCAGATCTTTACTTTTATATCATTTGGAGTTAATGTTAACAAAACTTTTTAAAAATTTTGACTTGATGGCTAGTAGACAAATTTTTCTTAAAAGTAATATAATTTTGCCTGACTTTCTTGTAGAACTTAGCCAAGATGTTGCCTCAAAAGGCCTTGGGTTGGTTTATGAACTAGGCAACGAACAAGATCAACAGGAATTGGTTTCTACTCTTGTGGAAACACTTATGACTGGCAAAAGGTATGATAAACTTGAAAATTTTAGGTTTGAACACGTAGAGAAAATGTATACACATACTGAGAATATGCCGTGGAAGAAGGAAAATTCAACTTTCCATTTTCCTATTTATTAAGGCTTTTCTGAGTTGCAAGTCAGTGATTGTTATGCTGTAGATAGCAGTTTAATTATCTCAGTGTATGCTGTTTACGTTAGAAACATCCCAGTAGGTCAAGATGTGAAAGGTGAATGGTCCTAGGACAATTAAAACGTTGGATTAGAAAAATAACAATTTTGTAATTAAGATGTAGAGAAGAAGCTTACATATCATTCACAGTTTGGTCCATGAGGAGTATATGAGGGGAAATCATTCTTGTAATTGGTTGCTGCCTTATGTTTCCTTCCTTGTAGGAAGGATAATTTTTAATGTGGGAGCACATTTAATTCAGTGTAACTTTTTATGGGATGTCTTTTACATCTATTAATTTGTTCATTCTAGATTTCATTTTATAAAACTCCCAGCCTGGTGGAAAAGAATAGTTGAATTTTATATCTTGCACATAGTAGACACTTATTAGGGAGTTCAGTTTTATCAGTTTGCAAATGAAATGTATCCATTAGTCGAATGCTGGTATGAAAAGTTTGAGGCTAATTTAAATTCTTATTGTTTTGATTTAGAGCTAAACGTGAAGTTTCTGGAGAGACAGTGGTATTTCAAGGGGGAACCCTTGGTAAAACACCAGATGGGTAAGAATGCCAAATCCATTGATCAATTACTGTAGACATCTTTAAATATATATATGTATATATATTTTAGTCTGGTAAATAGAACAGTCATTAAGTTGATTTCTATCCTCTTAGGAAATGTTGTGTGTTGATGGAAGAAGAAAACTTCTATGGAAAAAGCCTACTGTCTTAGATTGGGTTTCCTGGGAAAGAGACTCTGAGATAGAGATTTGTGTGCTGAAGTTGATTGCGGAGTGCCCTGGGGATCACCCTTGAGGGGAGTGAGGAAGCAGGATAGGGCTGATGACTGAGAGAGAGGCTGAACTTCTGCCATCATCTCAATGAATACTGCCCCTCTTGAGGCGCTCTGAGCTGGGATGTCCCTCCAGAATTGTCCTGCTTTGGGACATGGGAACTGGACTCATTATGTCCCCTGGTTAGGCCTTTACACCCCCTCATTGACTAGCCATTGGTGGTGGGCTGCTCCCAGGAAGGCCATGATGTTGGGGTCTGAGGGCAGTTTTGGGAGATTTAGTAGGCAGAGAGCTGCATGCTCCAAGGCAGCTGAATCCTGAGGGGGACCTGGCAGCATAGCTTAGCATCCGTTGCACCTAGTTTTGTGGTGGGGGCAACTCTATATTAGACTCCAATAATTCAGCATTCCAAATTAATTCCAGCTTTATTTTATCCTTTATTTTATTTATTATATCCTCCTTTATTTTATCCACCATGATTATATCATTGCTTTTTCTCTATGAATTGTCAGGTGAATCCATGCAGCTCATTTGGCCTTGCGGTGGTGTCATGCAGAGCCCTGCTTAGTGTTGTCTGCAGCTGGAGAAAGCTGTAGTTTGTTTTCCTTGTGCTTCTCCCGTAGCTCACTGTTTCACATCAGAAGCTGATTTCACTCCACTTACTCTTTTTGTAGACTCCTTCTGAGCTTTTAAAAAAGTGCTTACTTTTCACAAAATAACATACACAAAATAACATAAAATGATCAGATGTTTGATCAAATATTATTTGTTAAGAGGAAAGTTGACAAGACTCAAGTTGTTATCAGGATTAGGGTGATCTAGCTTAGAAGAGTCTTAGGAAAGACAGACGTTGTCTTCAAATGACTCTTATGATTATGAAAGAAATTTGCACACAATACAATAAAGAATTATTGAGTTACCTCCCAAGGTGGTGAGGGCTTCATGTGAACTCCATGGGAGTTGCAGGCACATTTAAGTCATTTACCAGTAGCAGTGTAAAGGGGCTTAGGAATTGTTGGTAATTGAATAAGTGACTATATTCTTCTCAACCTGGTTTTCTGTCTCCGTGGTGATGAGATAACTTCATATTAGAAGTTGAGTGAAAATGTAATTTTTAAATGTCCTTGTAATATTGATGATGTAATATGGAGATAGAGAAATATATTATTGCATACTTCTTTTTGTTTGTTTCCAAGCCAGGGCCTTTCTACTTACAAGGAGCTTTGTTCTCTGGCAAGTGATCTTAGTCAGCCAGATCTGGTGTATAAATTTATGAATTTAGCCAACCATCATGCAATGTGGAACTCTAGGAAGGTGAGTTGCTATCACTGGTCAGGTTTCATGTTTTTCTTTCCTCCAAAATTAATATGCTACATTGGCAATGGATATGCAGTGAGTTTTGTAAAAGCTTTTGCCTGATTAGAGAGAGCCAAACCACCACACAGCTACTGTTATTTTTTAAATTTCTTTTGGGTGGCATGTTGGTACGTGGATCCAAAGATGTGACCTCGGTGATATAAGGCTGTGCTCTAATCAAATGATCTAACTGGCCAGCCCAGCTACTATTATTGATTGGTAAAGCTGGGATACCCAAAAAATCATGCACTATTCAGGGACAAGTTTGGGAGGGAGAATTTTGTGATCCTCGTATGTTTAAATATGTTAATATTTTACTACAATAGATATGTCTGAGTTACCTCATATTATTATTATTATTATTATTATTATTTTTAGGGTGCTGCTTTTGGTTTTAATGTAATTGCTACCAAAGCTGGAGAACAGCTGGCTCCTTTTCTGCCTCAACTAGTTCCTCGTCTTTATCGTTATCAGTTTGATCCCAACCTTGGCATTCGACAGGCCATGACAAGTATTTGGAATGCATTGGTCACTGACAAATCAATGGCAAGTATCTGTGAATCCCTGTGTGTGTTAGGAAAACACTGTAGCTTGTCCAAGATCACACACAGGGTTTAATCCCAGTATTCATCTTCCTTTCTAGTTTTCATATCTATTTGTTTAAACAAATAAACTTTCATTCCTTGCTTTCTTCCTTCTTTCAAGGTATCAAAGATGCTCATGGCAACATTCATTGAAATCTCAAAAATGGAAACAATCTAAATGTCCACTGGGTGGATGGCTAAGGAAATGATGGTGTATTCACACAAATGGAATACTCTGTGTTGATGGGTACTGTTAATGCAGTGGAAAACGGGTCACAGTGCTACTACCTTCAAGGAGTTCACTTAGTTGGGGAGGTAGACAAGGAAGCAGACAGTTACCATATGTTTTTTCTGTTGGTTTTCTATCATCATCTGGCTGTTTATCATGTTCTTTCCCACTTTTAGATATTAAGATTTCTCAGGGCTTGCCTCTGAGTAGGTTTTGCTTTTTCAGCTCTTCCTATCAGTTCCAGGGCATATAAATGTCGTCTTTATTGTGATGGTTCCCAGTCTTATACTCTGGCCCAGGCGTGACTTGTGCTCCAGACTTGTATATCCAGCTGCCTGCTTAACGTCTTCACTTGGGTACTGTTTCAAGATACCATAAACTTAGCATGTCCACAATAGAATTAAAAAAAAAAAAAACCTTCCCCCTCTATTCTCACTGTTCACCCATTTACACGTGGGCCAGGAAACTTGGTGTCATCCTTGATTTTTCTGTATATCGTACCCCCGCCCCCAACTAAATCTAGTAGCAAATTCTGTTAATTCTGCTTCCAAAGTATTTTTTGAGTCTAGTCTCTTCTTTCCCTAATTCTTTCCTGATGAACAGATCATCATCATCTTTTTCTTCTCTTTGCCTTCCTTCATTTAATTATCTGCATAGCAGCAAAAGTGATTTTTAAAAATGCAGATTGGATTGTGTCATTGTGGGTTAAAATCCTCCAGTGATTCCACAGTTCACTTTAAATAAATTCCACGATCCTTTCTATGTCTTACAAGTTCCTGTGCATGATGTAGCCCTTTCCTCTTTTCAGTATGATATTAGGTTGAGTGTGTTTCTGTTCATGGCGGTAGGTACTTTGGGATTTACCTGTGAAGGCTCAGTGAGTTCTGTTTGCTCTAGGAGAGTATGTGGTATGTCTGGATCAGCCAAGATCTGACAGGCCAGGGGGCTTTGTAGGTCTGAGTTTAGGATATACAACTAGGCTCTTGAGATATGAGTGTGATCTCTGTGTGAGCCAAAGGTGAAGCTACAAGTGTAGATGAGATCACCTATGGAGAATGTTTAGAAAAATGGACATAGGAAGACATCAGTACATCATTTGGTGAGTTATTTACCTCTCTGTTTTGATTTTCTTACATATAAATGAGGATAACAAAACCTCTCCTACCTACAAGAGTAAAAGTAGAAAAGCTGTTAAGTTTTGAGGGTCTCTGGATAAGTATAAAGACTGAGTCTACCATAAGTTTGTCATTATTGCAAAGTTGTAAGTGTATATCAAAACAGAACAGAGGCTTTAAAGATTAAACTCATCTTTCATTCTAAATAATCATAATACTTCATTATGAGTCAGACACTGTGCAAGGTACTGGGGATACAAAGATGAGTAAGACGCTGTCTCTGCCCTTGAAGTCTCCAGTGTAGTGGAGCAGTGCAGTTACTGTATGGTCAGCTATGGTGCCTCTTAAGAAGGTCCTGTGGGAACACAGAGGAGAGTGTGTAGGCTAGTCTTCTTTGAGAAGGTGATGGCTAATTTGAATCTTGAGGAACAAGTAGGAGTTAGCCAAGCTGGTAGGATCTAGAAGGGTATTGTAGTTAGGGTTAGTATGTGCCAAGAAATGGAAGTGAGACAGAATATGATACCTTTGGTTTTTTTTTTGTCTTTTTTGTCTTTTTTCCGTGTCTGGCAACGGGATCGCAAGCCTCGGTGTTGCTCCTGCGCCTCGCTCAGCCAGCGAGCGGGAACCGGTCTGTATGTGGGATCCAAACCCTCGGACGGGAGCGCCGCCGCGCTTCCCAAGCGGCGCACTATCCAGTGCGCCACCGGGCCGGCCCCAGAATATGATACCTTTGGAGCTAGCTGAGTTACAGTGAGCTTCGTTCGCATACCCAGGTGTTTGGACTTTGTTCTCAGGCACTGAGGAAAACAAGAGGATCAAGCGTGTGTTTTAGAATGATTACTGTAGCAACTTATAGCGACCAAAGTAGGGTGAGATTTGTAGGCTGAGAGGCCTGAAGAGATGCTTAGGCTATTAAATACAGAAACATGGTTACTTTGGTTGAGAGGTGATTAATTTGATTATTGATGGCCTTGTATTTTTAATTTTATCCTTTTGCTTTTACTAGGTGGATAAATATTTGAAGGAAATTCTTCAAGATCTGGTTAAGAACCTTACCAGCAATATGTGGCGAGTTCGAGAATCCAGGTACCCTTTCTGGAAATAGAAGACTGGTCAAATAAAACTGAATTTTTTTCCTTCAGATTTCCAAGTTTTATACTTCGTGCTAACTTAAAACGACTGAAAAGCATGTTTCCAGTCAGCTAAATAAGACAGTTATTTTTCTTTAATTATTTAAACTCTGGTTGATGGTTTTTCTAAGTTGTTTTAGTTTATATAAATGTGATATTAGCAAAGCTGAAGATCACTTGTTGAATTGGTAGACACCAAAGATATGACTTTGTAGTGTAGCATTTATTTATATATATAATTTATATTCATTCAGTGCCAAATATGTGCTTGGCAGTGTGCTAGGCTTGGGAACACAATAAGTAAAAAATGATGTATCATGTCAAAGGGATTGTATTCTCGTTGTGGGAAACAAACATTTGATGATTGTAAATGCTATATTTGTGGTATATTTGAGGTACCAAGAGAGAATAGTCATTACTGTCTTGGGGTGAGGGGGTTAGGACTGGAATTATAGGTGAAATTTATATTCTTATTTAGTGTAAGTGTTTCATAGTAAAATATTCAGCTTTCTTGATGACACATTTGAAACCAAATTGTTTGTTTTCAGCTGTTTGGCTTTGAATGATTTGCTGAGAGGAAGACCCTTAGATGACATCATTGATAAACTTCCAGAAATTTGGGAAACGCTTTTTAGAGTGCAAGATGACATCAAGGTATTACAGAAATAAATATGCATTTATTTATAGAAAAGCTTAAACAGGAAATGTTAAAATATGTATGTTATATATTTCAAAATTCTGTGTCCATACAATTTTAAGAGACCACGGTTTTCTACCAGAGTTTCAGTCTTGATGCATCTGTGAAGTGCAGGGTTGGGTATGTTTAAAATCTAAATTGAATTGTCTTAGGAAAAAAGGTGTCCACATCCTGACTTACTTTCGGTAGAGTTCTCATGATGCTATTGTGTTAGGGACAGATAACAGTTTTGTAAAGTACATAATAACTCTACTTTTATAAGTTTCATAAATTGTGTTGGTCATTCCCAAATAATATGACCCATTCCCTTGAATTTTTCTGGGCAATCTAAATTGTAGGTATTTTGATATCTTACCATTAAAATTACTCACTTCAGTTTTGCCTTTCTTTTTGCTTTGTTACAGATTTTTATGTCTTTCAGAATTCTTACATATATTTGCTTTTATAATACATTTAGTTTCTGAACTGTTTAATACATAATAGCCAAATAGCAAAATATTTGTAAGGTCAAAGTAGGTAATACCTAATGTTTGAAAATTAATAATATGGCATTGTAATATGTTTCTTGATGGGCAAACAGCCTAATGAGATTTTTTTTTTTAACCTGATATTCAAAGTAGGGTTTTTCACTAATCTGTGTGGACTATAAGGCAGTTAAATGCATATTGTGGAGTAGATGAGAATGAAACTCTCTAACTTGTATGATATCAAACTTTTTCATTTTTAGGAATCTGTACGAAAAGCAGCAGAACTAGCTCTGAAGACTCTGAGCAAGGTGAAAACTCTTATCTTACATTAGGGATGGATGGGGGCAGGGCTCTGTGTGACTGAGACAATAGTGATTTATTTTTTGTCATATGAAATTACATTTAGTTGCAGTGTAATTGGCTTTGTGTTATAGTTTACTACTCCTATAGTGAATGAGAAAGTGGGTGCTGTAGCACTGGATATTAGTATCTTGAGCAAAGTATACCTTTCGTCTCATTAAATGGTAAACTTAAGATAAAACTTTAACTTGACCCTGAGGAACACATTATTCACTTAGATCAAGCAACATCTATCAATTCTCTTACTATTGCCATATTTATGTGTAAATCTACCTTTCATATTTATGAGGTTGGCAAGCTTTCTGAAACTAAATAGTCTCCCACTTAAACTTGATTTTGTGATATATTGGGGACTTCTACATTCTAGTTGCACAAACCTTGCCATAGGCCATATTATTAGTAAGTAGTAAAACTAGATTTTAAATCCTGGTGTGTCTCATTCCAGATTTGTGTTTTTGACCACTATATTGTGCTGCCACCCAAAATTATTGATGATAATGATGATGATACCTTAAACCTTATTTATAGTGCTTTCTTAAATGTTTTCTCATTTCATCTTTATCTCTTTTGTTCCCCATTTCACAAATTAAAAGACCAAAGCTTAGAGAGTAAAATGCAGACCTAAGACTCAATCCCAGATCTCATTCCTCTTTCTCTCCCCATGGTGTCATACAAAGAAGATTCACTTACTCTTTTCTATGGATATGTGAAGTAGAAAGTATTTTGTCAGATGAATGCTTTATTGGATTCAAGGCCAGTTTCACTAATGTCCGTGTTCTTTGTATGTGAGGTTTGTGTGAAAATGTGTGACCCTGCCAAAGGAGCAGCTGGCCAGAGAACCATCGCTGTCCTTCTGCCTTGTCTTCTGGACAAAGGAATGATGAGTTCTGTGACGGAAGTTCGAGCCCTCAGGTGTGATCCGTTGATGAAATGAACGTTTTGGATTTGCTCAGTTCCTAGCCATTTAGTAGAAAGTTTGTTTCTTTAAATGTTAGATTCTTGAAAATATGGAGAAATAGGTTGAGGAAAATTCACTGAGGTGACTTTTGGGTCATTTGTGAGAAGTTGCAAATCAGAATGTTTCGCAGAAACATTTTCACGGGACCTTGTTTGTGACCAGCATTCTGAGTCAGGTGTCTTATTTATTATTGGCCTCTGCCCCCAGCAAATACATCTTCCTAGTATGTCACACATCCTCAGGAGCTTGTTTTTTGGTTGTAACACTTTGTAACATTTCACAGATTAAGGTAAACTGTTTACCACCTGCAACAGTGAAATATTAAACAAAATGTACTTGCATGTTTAGATATATATGGCTATTTTAAGTTAAAATCAACAGTGTAGGGCCGGCCCGGTGGCGCACTGCTATAGTGCGCCACTTGGGAGCGCGGTGGCGCTCTCGCCGAGGGTTCGGATCCCACATACAGACCGGCCGCTCACTGGCTGAGCGAGGTGCAGGCGCAACACTGAGGGTTGCGATCCCGTTGCCGGTCCCGGTCCGGTACGGGCGCGACACTGAGGGTTGTGATCCGTTGCCGGTCACGAAAAAAGACAAAAAGGAAAAAAAAAATAAAATAAAATCAACAGTGTAGGATTCTAGTTTGTATTTTTCTTTTTTTAGCTAGAATGCTATCTAGGAACTTTGTTTCATTTTTATTTCACTCTTAAAACTGGAACAAATTAATAGTACAAACAGTATTTCACAGTAACTAAATAGTTGATGAGGTTATAACACCAAGATAAAGGGTTCAGATCTCCACACTGGCCATTTGCCCACCCCCCACCAAAAGAAAAAGTTGATGAGGGAAGGTTTGTTTTAGGATGACTCACCTAATAAATGCAAAAGCACGATAAAATTATAATATCACTGTTTTGCTGTGTAAAATTATTTATGTAGTGATTGTTAGTGGCTCCTAAGTTCAATTAGTGAGAGATTGTTGGAAAGCTATATAATGGTTCAGGCCAACCAAACCTGAACCCACTGATCACTCTTCTTCTTTTTTTTTTTTAATTTATTTTTGTGAGGTACAATGTATTGTTTCAATACATGTGTATGCTGCAAAATGCCACTGATCACTCTTAACAGCACAGAAAGACAACCAGATATTATGTGCACCCTGATGTGATGGAATAGAACAAATACAGCTATGACAGATTCTTGTTTTTTTTTTTTGTTTTTTTTTTTCCTTTTTTCGTGACCGGCAACGGGATCGCAACCCTCGGTGTTGCGCCCGCACCGCACCCAACCAGTGAGTGGACTGGTCTCTATATGGGATTCGAACCCTCGGCGGGAGTGCAGCGCCCTCTACCGAGTGTGCCACCGGGCCGGCCCCAGATTCTTGTTTTTTTTTTTTAAAAAAGTGGAACCTGAACTTGATTTAGCCTGTAGATCTGTACAGGGGACAGAGGAACATGTTCAATGATACAAGTAGAATACAATGAATGAGGACAAATAAATGAGAAAAAAGGAGGAGAGAGGGGACTGTTAAAAAAGGTTTGAGAAATGTAGTAAATTGTCACGTGGTTGAACTCTGGGTCGTGATTCCAACCAATGAATGAACTGTTAAATTTGTGAAACAGGGAAATTTGAATATTAGTTGATATGAAAAAAGTTATTAATATTTTTAAAACGTGAAAATATTATGATTATGGTAGAGTTTTTATCTCTTGGAGATATGTACTGAAGTTTAGTTATGGGGATGCAAAAAAAGTATGCCTGTGTATATAGAGGAGGTAGAAATGAAACAAAATTGCTCAAATTTTGCTTATTGTTGAACTGGGTGGAAAATATAGGAAATTTAATTTATCATTCTCTCTGCTTCATTTATGGTTCTCTCCATTTTCATATATGCTTGAAAATTTCTATGATTAAAAAAAAATAGTACCAAGACCAGGCTCTGTAACTATGTAGGTGTATGCCTCAGTGCAGTAAACTGCAGAACATCCTCATGATTAGATTTGTAGGGCTTTTTTTGTTAAAAAGACTCAGGAATTGTGTTCTGTGTATCTGTAGCATTAACACCCTTGTGAAGATCAGCAAAAGTGCAGGAGCCATGTTGAAACCACATGCACCAAAACTCATCCCAGCTCTGCTGGAGTCCTTAAGTGTACTGGAGCCCCAAGTTCTCAATTATTTGAGCCTTCGGGCCACGGACCAAGAAAAGGTGAGTTGATAGCACAGGCATATTGGTAAATATCTTGAAGGAAGAGCCTTGTTAACATGCTGAGGTCTATCTGAATAATCCTTCCAGTGTCCATAGACAAATTCCATGACTTGAATATTTTCACCACTCTTACAACAACTCCACCCCTGTGACCATATACAATCTTTTTTAATTTTTCTGGAGGGGGGCTGTCAGCTCATACACTGCTTTGTGAATTGGATGAAAAGTGATACCTCCATTCAAAAAATGTGTTAATATTTGTTTAATATAGTTTTTTGTACATGTTTATTTTTTTAGGGATTGGGTCTACACTTTCAGAGTCCTTCAGTGGACCTTCCCCTGCCCTACAAGTGCAGAGGATTTGTATGTAGACTCTGGCATAGTCCAAAATCGTCCTGCTTTCCAGTTACACTGTAGTCATGTAGTCCCTGATCAGAATCATTTTTTAAAAATTGCAGATGAAATACATTTATTGTGTAAAATTAAAACAAAACAGAAGGGTAGAAAGTAGTCAGTCCCCTAGTGGGTCACCTCTTCCCTGCCACCAGTGTCAATCCCTGAGGAGTACCCAGTGGCACCAGTTTCTTATGCCTTTTTAAAAATTCTTTTGTAGTCATAGGCTATAAAACCAAACAAACATACTAGTTTTAAAAATAGTGTCACGCTGTGAATCTTGTTCTGCAGCTTGGGTTCTTTAAATTGTCAATATAGCATGTCTACATATAGGTTTAGCTCATTCTTTTTAATGCATGTATTGTACAAGTGAGGTGATTTTGAATTCTTGTAGGTGAGGTTTTGCAACATCAAAGGTTACAATTTTTTTCTCCACACCTTTGCCAACATTGAATAACAGAACATCCGTCTGATAAGCAAAATCTCACTATTCTGATTTGCACTTTCCTTTTACTAGTATCGTCCATCGTCTTCATATTTTATTAGCCATTTCTGTTCGTTCTGTGAATTGTGTTTTTATTCCATGCTTATTTTTTACATGGCTGTTTTATTTTTTTGCATTTTTTTTTTTTGTTTATTAGGACAATTAAACCCTTGTTATATATAATGACGGGTGTTCACCATTTGATTTTTAACTTGCCTAAATTTTGTAATACCTTACTCTCTTCTCCCTTTGCCTCTAATATTGCTCTTTCTTCTCCGTTCATTGTACTTTCCTCTTTCTGCAGTAGACTTGCTCCTTCCTGGGTTTCCATAGGATGTTTACTAGGTGTTGAGACTTAGGAAACATAAATTCTGGTTCAAACTTTGCAGCCCTAGGCAAGTCACTTCTGTATGCCTCACTTCTCTCGTTTATTGTGTTTGGATAGCATTAACCTCTCCTCCAACATAGTTGTTAGACTAAAATATATTGTAACTATGAAGGCTAATTACAGAATTAAATTAGACACAATTTTTAAAAATTCTTAGATAAAAATTTACTTGGTCTCTTCCTTTATTTAGTGGTTGGAGAACCTGAGGCTAGAGAAGGCGGGGTGACTTGCTCAGAGCCAAACTATGTTAATTTTTAACTGCAGTTAATTTCTGACCGTGGTCTCAATTTCTCAACTGTAGTAAGTGATGAGATGCTTCCTCTATAGGTAAATTGTTGAGGGTAGGTCAAGTGAAATTAGAGTGAGACTTAGGTTTGACCTTGTTTATCTACCGATAGTTTGAAAGTAAAGCTCTTTTATTGTAGTGTGTGTGGGTTATTCCTAATTCATTGAATATCCTGAGTGACTTGAATTTGTGTTCTTCAGGCTGCGATGGATAGTGCTCGACTCAGTGCTGCCAAGTCCTCTCCCATGATGGAAACAATCAACATGGTGAGTGTCTATGTAAAATGAGAAAGGTTGTTTGTTTGCTTACCTAAAAGCATAATTCTTTAGTCTTCAGGCTACATTAAATGAAGTAGAGATTTAAAGGATGAGTCAAGCAGCTATTGTGACTCCAGAGTTTTCTTAGTATTGTTCTTTTTTCTTCTTTTATATTACTAAGTGGAATAAATAATTTTTCAAATACTAGACTCAGTCCATTTTGTGTTACAAGGGATGATAACATTAAAAGATCTCTATAAATCTGTATCTATATATCTTTTGGTCCACCTATTTAGAAAGGTTCAAATCTTTGCCTCTGCCTGAGGCAGAAATCTTTGGGAGAAACTAGGAAGTTGTAAGCTGAAAGTATTCAGTGAAGTAGGTGATGTAAAGGTAGGTGAAGAGAATTGAGCCATGGTGTGATATGTTGTTTCATAGGAAAGAATTTGAAGTAAAGAGCTGCTTGGCATTCTGGGGTTCTGATTTCTTAGGTCCATAGAATCTTGGTAAAGTCAGCTCTGCTGTGCGTATCCCGTGGTGGTTAACTAAGCTTGTGTGTTACTGGAAATTGTTTTGCCAAGCAGATCACAAAGTCATACAATATAAGTAGATATTTTTTAGTGCCCACCGGGGGACTGCCACCAAAATTTTTTTATATAAGGAAGTAATATCCTAGTTGGATTATTGGGAGAAGATGAAATTTAAAGAAATAGGAACAGTTAGCACATACCATTCAGGTATGTTCTTTAATAATAGAATGTATGTCATTGCATTTTCAAAAATAAATTCTCCTACACTTTGCTGTTGTTTATCTAAGAAGTTGATGTGTTAGAGGTGGTTCGGTAGGGTAAGTCCACTAATGAAGGTCAGTTTTAGTCTTTTTATGTTAGATTTTTACATTTAGTTTTTTTACATTAAACATGGATTGATAAAGAGGAAATAGGCCCAAAAGAGATCATTTATTATTTGTTAATCATTAGTCATCTCTCAGTATCCTCGAGGGATTGGTTCCAGACCTTTACATATACCAACATCTGTGGTTGTTATTTTTTTTTCCTGAATATTTTTGATCTGTGGTTGGTTGAATCTGTGGATATGGAACCTGTGGATTCAAACAGCTGACTGTATTTTCTCCTTTAATGAATTGATGTTTTTTAAAATTATTTTTGTTTTGTTTATAATGTTGAACCATTGATCAATGTTTGTCTGTAGTACAATAGTGGTTTTAACATTGAAATCAGAGCAAAATCAAACTGCAATTTTTCAATTTCATGTCAAATCCCATGGGTATATATTTGACCTAGGCTGTTTTTAATTGAAGATGTGATACTGATTTAATTATTTGCTAAGGTTTACCCTTATATTTATTCTTTTTCAAAAGTGCCTGCAATATCTTGATGTGTCGGTGCTGGGTGAGCTAGTTCCTAGATTATGTGAACTGATCAGAAGTGGTGTAGGTCTTGGAACTAAGGTAAGAGTATTTTTCACAAGAGGAAGTATGCATCTTCATTAGTTTTAGCCACAAAAATATACCAGCTGTCATATTTGAAATTCAGATGCTTTCATGAAACATAATACTGTGTATTAGCCATTTTGTTTCTGAGGTTGCACTTATAACTTAAAGCGTAACTGATTCAGGAAATAAAACAATGTAACTTATTCAGTAAATATTGACTTACTTTTATTTTTTTTTTGGTCTTTTGTCTTTTTCTGTGTCCGGCAACGGATCGCAACCCTCAGTGTTGCCCCCGTACCGGACCGGGGACCGGCAATGGGATCGCAACCCTCGGTGTTGCCCCCGTACCGGACCGGGGACCGGCAATGGGATCGCAACCCTCGGTGTTGCCCCCGTACCGGACCGGGGACCGGCAATGGGATCGCAACCCTCGGTGTTGCCCCCGTACCGGACCGGGGACCGGCAATGGGATCGCAACCCTCGGTGTTGCCCCCGTACCGGACCGGGGACCGGCAATGGGATCGCAACCCTCGGTGTTGCCCCCGTACCGGACCGGGGACCGGCAATGGGATCGCACCCCTCGGTGTTGCTCCCGCGCCTCGCTCAGCCAGTGAGCGGGAACCGGTCTGTATGTGGGATCCGAACCCTCGGGCGGGAGCGCCGCCGCGCTTCCCAAGCGGCGCACTATCCAGTGCGCCACCGGGCCGGCCCTTGACTTACATTTTTAGTGAAAAATTATTTCTGTTCGTTGGTTGCCACGTACATGCCTCTGGGTTCTCATTCATTATCATTTAATAGAATGATCACCTAGTCATCAGGGCATGATTGTTTTAGGTGATGATTAGCATTTTTCACAGAAGGATCAGCAGGTATATGGATTGAAAAATGTCTTCCCTTTCATGATCTTTCTAGGATCAGACCCATTTGCCCTTTAAAATAAACAACTCATTTTTTCTCATGGCAAAATTAACACTTGCTTGTATTTTAAAATTTTAGCATTTATAGGTCAGGAGAAAATTAAAAGTAAAAATCATACATAATTTTACCATTCAGAGATAACTGCTGTTAACATTTGGGAGTGTTTCCTTCCAGTCTCTTTTCTGTGCTCTTGTCTTCTACAGTGTCCTTTGTAATGGTCATATGGTACTCTATTGTATGAATGTAACATCATTTATTTTAATTCATCAAGGAATATCTGATTGGTTTTCAGTTGTTTTTTTTTTTTTTGTATTAAAGAAAGTACAGTGATGAATATCTTTGGATACATCTGAAGCTATTTCCTTTGGTTACATTTCTAGAACTGTAAATGTTAGCACAAGGATGGATAAGACAACAGAAGAAACTTCTGTTCTTCCAGAAGTTTGTGCCAGATTTATTTCTTACAGTGTCATCCATCTTTCTGCTGGATGTCTTGGAAAAAAAATCTCTGCATTACTAGTTTAAAATAAGAGTTTTCTTTTTTCTAGACTGAATCCTGTAGGTGCTATTGGCTTCTTGTATGTCATATCTTTAAACCTTTGGCACCTAGAGCAAATGCTTTTATAGAACATTGTGACTATCAAATTTAGACCTTTGCTTTTCTAATCCTGTAGGGAGGCTGTGCCAGTGTCATTGTGTCATTAACTACTCAGTGTCCCCAGGACCTGACACCCTACTCAGGTAAGTTTGTCAAATTGATGTGTTGTGATTTTTTGCATAGTCATGTCCTGTGTGACAGTGTTTTAAAAGGAAAAATAATGATTATTCAGACATGCTTGTGGTGCTGTCTGCTTTTTCTCATCTCAACCACCCTAACCCCCTCTCTCTTTATCTGCAGAAGGTGTAAGTTTTCTTAAGTTCAGCAAGTTCTCACTTTATAAGTGTTTGGTTATTTCTTAGTGGTATAAGGAGGTAAAAGTATCTGCCATTCTGTAGGACTTGTTTACCTTTATAGCTAATTTTATATCAGCATTTTTCTCTTTTTAGACTGGCTCTTAGATGGGGCTAGTGAACCTTATGTACTTGGGTCTTAGTTTTGCAACTTTCCCCACAATATTCTATTGTTTGTTTGTTTGTTTTTTCCTTTTTGTCTTTTTTCGTGACTGGCAATGGATTGCAACCCTCAGTGTCGCGCCCATACCGGACCGGGATCGGCAACGGGATCGCAACCCTTGGTGTTGCGCCCGCACCTCGCTCAGCCAGTGAGCGGCCGGTCTGTATTTGGGATCCGAACCCTAGGCGGGAGCGCCGCCGCGCTCCCAAGCGGCGCACTGTAGCAGTGCGCCACCGGGCCAGCCCCCCCACAATATTCTATACACAAGTTAATTTTAAATTTTGTATCAGGCAACAGGAAGCAAAATGGATAGTACAGATATATCATTCAAGGGACTTAAACTACTATGGAGCAAATCGGATATTAAGTGCAGGGATACATTTGTTTTGGTCTTGGGAACAGAGCAGAACATTTGGTCAACCAAGTATCAGATTTTTTTCACTTTATTTTTGGTAGGTAAACTTATGAGTGCTTTGCTTAGTGGCCTGACAGATCGGAACAGTGTGATTCAGAAATCCTGTGCATTCGCCATGGGCCATTTAGTTCGGGTGAGTTGAAATTCTTATTTAGTTAAATAAAACTTTTTAATACTTATAAAGAAGTGATTGGGATTTTTTTTTTCCCCCAGACCTCACGAGATAGCAGCACTGAAAAACTCCTACAGAAGCTGAGTGGCTGGTATATGGAAAAAGAAGGTACCTGTCTTTTCCTGTTTTATGTCATTTTTAATTTAGGTGTTAACAACCTAATAAAACAGTTCAACTTAGGTCTTATCCTTTGTGATTTTACGTGCTTTGCTAGAAACACTTCTAACTGATTTTTATCTATCTGTTTATTTTGTTGTGTTACAAGATGAGCGATAGTCTATTTGGATCAGTTACCCTTAAAAACATGAAGTCTTATAGAGATTTTGGTTTCTTCTGCTTCTCTTCAGAACCTATCTACAAGACCTCTTGTGCTTTGACTATTCATGCTATTGGACGATACAGCCCTGATGTATTGAAGAACCATGCCAAAGAAGTTTTGCCTTTGGCATTTCTAGGCATGCATGAAATTGCTGATGAGGAGAAATCTGAAAAAGAAGAATGTAACTTATGGACTGAAGTATGGCAGGAAAATGTACCTGGTTAGTAAACGGTGCCAATGAATTAGACTTGCTTCTTAGGAACCGCAGCTAGAAGTTTTTACTCACTCTCTTTATTCATAAACTCTTCTATGGTGACTTTCTGAGGACCTTAACAACATCTAAATTGCTAAGTTCTCAGGTTGACCCTCAGAGCTCTTTTCTTTTCTTTTCTTTTTCCATGTCCGGCAACGGATTGCAACCCTCAGTGTCGCCCCCGTACCGGACCGGGACCGGCAACGGGAACACAACCCTCGGTGTTGCCCCCGCGCCTCGCTCAGCCAGTGAGCGAGAACCGGTCTGTATGTGGGATCCGAACCCTCGGCGGGAGCGCAGCCGCGCTTCCCAAGCGGCGCACTAGCGCAGTGCGCCACCGGGCCGGCCCCCAGAGCTCTTTTCTTTACTCACTCATTGCTATGCATGTGAGAGAACCTAAACTCTGTGTAAACAAAGTAGAGCTTTATTTGTTTTAGTTGAGAATGTAATAGTGATTTTATGTTGCCTTAGAGTATGATTTTAGAGTATCGTTTCTCAAATGTGTTTGTTTTTTTTTAAACCTTGACTCATATTAATGGATGATGAGCATTTGCATGACACCTTCCTGTGGACACATCCAAGTTCATAAAGTCCTACCATTGTAAAAATAAGGTACACCACTACCCACTTTCTCTCACTTTGAGAGAATGGTGTGTTTTAACAATTGAGAATCACTGCTTTAGACTGATGGTCACTGACTTCTTTTTCAGACTTAGAAAAGAAAAATTAGTTAATTTTCTTGTCACTTAAAAGTTGTTTTAATTTTGCTTTTTATAACCTAGGTTCCTTTGGTGGCATTCGGTTATACCTGCAGGAGTTGATTACCATTACGCAAAAGGCTTTACAGTCTCAGTCCTGGAAAATGAAGGCACAGGGTGCAATTGCCATGGCATCAATTGCAAAACAAACCAGCTCCCTAGTACCTCCATATCTCGGAATGATACTGACTGCATTGCTACAAGGCCTGGCTGGAAGAACATGGGCAGGAAAGGTAAAGGAACCATTCATGCCCAGCTAAATTTAAAAAATTCTTAAAGGATTACAACTGCATCTTTCATTTTCCATAAAAATAATAATGTGTTTTGGTATGACTTCATATGGATTATTTTTGTGAGCCAGATTTCCTAGCTTTGCGTAAAACTTAGACTAAGTATAATATTTCATTTCAAATTATAACCCACAAGCCCTTGTTGAATAATGCATAGTAATGCTGGAGATTGATATATTTATCATATATTTAGCTTTCCAAGTTACATGTTAAAACAAATTGTCCCCATTTTGTACATGTTGGCCTCATGAATAGATCAGGATTGGGCATATGTGAAATTGAGTTGCAAGGTGAGCTGCTTCTAAATATGGGGCTGAAGATGCCCATCTTTGGGGACTTTGAATTAGTCCTTTTTTACACAAAGGCTGTAGTAGGTCATTTACAATGAACACTCAGTGGGGAACATGAGATGCAGCAACATGTAATGATCCACTTTATGTTGTAAATGTCAATAGTGGCCAATGCAGTATTGTAGAAGTAGTACTTGACTTTGAGTCAGACATAGTTCTAGTTCTGTGGTTGACACTCCTGTCTGTATGACCTTGTTCAAATCTGTTCTCTAGGCTTTTATAAAAGGGAGATGAAGATAATTATCTTGCATCCATGGTTTGGAGTAAAACTCGGTGGATGTGTTTGTTAAACAGTAAAGTGCATTAAAGATAATATGACTCTTGTTAATTTTTGTTGTTATAGTTATTAAATATTTCTGAGGCAATTGTGGTCATAGTGTAGAGAATGTAAATGACATGTTTGGGCTTAGTAGTCCCTTATCTTTTTAACTCCTTAGGAAGAATTGTTGAAAGCCATTGCCTGTGTGGTGACAGCTTGCAGGTAAATATTCTTTCAATGAAAATGCCATTTCTTTTTTTTTCCTCTTTAACAACCAATATTTACTGATACATGCTTTGCAAGGTTCTGTTGACAGGACCATCTTAGGTATTAATATGATACCTGTCTTTCAAAGGCTTATAAACTTATAGGGGAAAAAAGATATTTATATAAATATAATAATTCCAGAAAGACTGTGATAGAGTCATGAAAGAATTGCAAAGTAATTTAAGAGTTCAAGAAGAAAAACACTACTTCCTGCTGAATGGATCAAGATGGTATTATATCTCAAATGTTTTATAGAGTTGCAGATCAAAATAAAGAAAACATCTAATTTATTTCTTTACTCTTACACAGAATCTCTTCTAAACTCTCTCTGAAAGCAATTAATCTGCCCCATTTTATAATACCTACAAAGTAGAATTTTCTATCTTGATTTATCAAATCACGATTCAAAATTATTCTTCAGTAACCCTTAAAATAACTTTTTCTTTTTTTTTGAAAGTCAGGATAATTAGTATGTTAATCATTATAAAATGTAACCATTCTTTGTGACCCTTTACCAATTTCTCACTACCCCCCTCTCCCTTTCCCACCTCTAGTAACCACAGTTCTGTTCTTTTGAGAGTTCTATGTATTATTGTGACTGTTGTATCTTTCTTTTTTATTTATTTATTTTTTTTAGCTTCCACTTATGCATGAGGACATGTGGTATTTCTGTTTCTATGCCTGGTTTGTTTCACTTAACATAATTTTCTCCAACCTCATTCATGTTGCTATAAATGGCAGTATTTCATTCTTTTTTATGGCAGAGTAGTATTCCATTGTGTATATATACCACATTTTCCTTATCCAGTCATCCATCAGTGGACATTTAGGTTGGTTCCAACTCTTGGCTATTTTAAGTAGCGCTGTGATAAACATGGGAGTGCAGGTGTCCCTTCCACATGATGATTTCTATTCCTTTGGGTATATACCCAGCAGTGGGATTGCTGGATCATATGAAAATGCCATCTCTTAAACCTGAAAGCTGCAGCCTTTATTAACTGTTTTGATGTGTTTTTATGTATCCTGTAGTGCAGAGCTGGAAAAGTCTGTGCCTAACCAACCCAGCACAAATGAGATTCTTCAAGCTGTGCTGAAGGAGTGTTGCAAAGAGAATCTCAAATACAAGATAGTAGCAATCAGCTGTGCAGCTGAAGTCTTGAAGGCCACCAAAGAAGACAGATTCCAGGAGTTTTCTGACATTGTCATACCTCTCATCAAGAAGGTAAGGACCACCTGTATCCTCTTAGGTCTGGTTTATATTTGAAAAAAAAAAAAAGTAAAAGTTTTTTTGTGACTCCTATTAGTTTAGCTCCGAGTAGCAGAAAATCGCAAAATATCATGGCTTCAAACAAGAAATTTGTCTCTCACATAATAGTTGGGAACCTCACAAAGTCTTCAAGGATTCTGGCTCTTTAGAGCTTGCAGCTCTTCCATCTCTAGGGTGTGGCCAACATCCTTATGGTCCACAGTGTTCCAGGCAGGTGATGGCAGAGGAGATGAAGCAAGAATGAAGGATCCCAGTGGGCATGTCAGTTCTCTCTTAACGGGGAGTTCCTGAGAACTGCTGCATGCCACTTTCTGGATATCCCATTGGCCAGTACTTAGCCAAATTGCTACACCTGGCTGCAGGTGAGGCTAGAAAAGGTAGTCTTCATTCTGGGCATCCTTTTGCTCTCCATGGGAGAAGGGGAGAGTGGATTCTGTAGTGAATAAACAGTTTCTGTCATAATAAGCTTTGCCTTGCAAGCATGTGCAGAAGCCATCCGAGTCATCCTAGAGTTAAGACAAGGAGCTCAGTGTGTCATGTAGATTTCCTCTGCCATATACTGGGGGACTTAGTCAAAAAAAGACTTTGGTTTTATATGGAAAATGAAGTAGTTAATTTTAAAGATTGGGCACTGGTTCAAAGAGAAGGGTATAATTTACCTATTTATTTGTGAGACATGAAATATTTTAAATAGCATTCTTATTGTGTTGCTGCTAATTTTCAGTTGTTTTCTTTCAGTAATAAGGCTTTTTAAATGATTTCGGTTACATATGTAATGATAGCATATGGATTTGAGAGACTTGTATTTTAAATTGATCATATCATCAGCTAGTTGGATGAATTACTTCTCTTGGCTTTTTTTTCCCTATTAAGACAGAGTTTGGATTTAGATTATTATGGAGTTGTTTCCATCTTTAATTTTCTGATTCTAATGGGAGTCTTCTGTTATGCTCAAAATACTACATTACAGTATTTTTTTTTTCCACTTTTGTTTGCAGACTCCTTAAAAGAATATCCCAAATTTATTGGAAGTGTAGTATTCTTGTTACAAATAATTCATGGTAGACAAGTTAGTATATGATTATTGGTTAACATGTTCTACCCTGGTTCCCTCATTGCTTGGTAGTATACCTATAGGTTTGAAGAAGAAAATATTAAGTTTTGCTTTCCTTTTCTTTGTTATATCTTAGAACTCACTGGAAAGTGTTGGAGTCCGGACAAACAAAAATGAAGATGAGAATGAGAAGGAAAAGGAGCTGCAGCTGGAATCTTTGCTGGGTGCCTTTGAGAGCCTGGGCAAAGCCTGGCCCCGAAACGTGGAGACGCAGCGTAAGCACCAGAACCTGCATTTGAATAAGTGCTGTAACCAGAGGTTACTTAATGAGAGCAAAGATTTTCTGTATGACAAATTATAGGTATTATTTCCGTTAGAGCCTGATTGATTAATGATGAGAATTATCCCATATAAACTTTACTCCTACATTGGCAAATAATCTTATTGATCATTAGCAAATAATCTTATTGCTGTAAGAAAGTACTACAGATTGGGTGCCTAAACAACAGAAATTTATTTTCCTGCAGTTCTGGAGGGTATAAATCCGAGATCAAGGTATAGGAAGGGTTGGTTTCTTCTGAGACCTCTCTCCTTGACTTGTGAATGGTCGTCTTCTCCCTGTGTCTTCACATGGTCTTCTCCCTAAGTTTCTGTGTCCGAATATCTGCTTCTTATAAGGACACCAGACATATTGGATTAGGGCTCACCCATATGACCTTGTTAAAGACCCACTCTTCTAATACAGTTATGTGTATAGGTACTGAGGGTTAGGACTTCAACATAGGAATTTGGGGAGACACAGTTTAGCCCATAAGAATCATTATACATTTTATGTAGATAGACTATAAAAAGGGTTCTGTTGGGCCGGCCCGGTGGCGCACTGGATGGTGCGCTGCTTGGGAAGCGCGGCGGCGCTCCCGCCCAAGGGTTCGGATCCCACATACAGACCGGTTCCCGCTCACTGGTTGAGCGAGGCGCGGGAGCAACACCGAGGGTTGCAGTCCCGTTGCCGGTCCCCGGTCTGGTACGGGGGCAACACTGAGGGTTGCGATCCGTTGCCGGACACGGAAAAAAGACAAAAGACAAAAAAAAAAAAAAAAAAAAAGGGTTCTTTTTCTCTTTTTTATTATCATAGTTCTTTTCTGAGTAATCCAAAATATTTATTACTGGGGTCTCTTC